GTAGAGGAAAAGTATTGCTTATGCCCTTAAAATGTTTGTTGATAAAGAAAACAAACAAGGGATGCTGTTGTTCTGTTTAGTGCAGTTTGGTTAATGAGTATAAGTGGAGCAGTTAATTTGCATGAGTATTTTAAATAAACCAGTTTTTTTTTTATCGGTTAGAGTTTAATGTACTTGTACTTTCTGTTAACATAAATCGATCCTTTTTTGTATTCTTCCCAAAGTACAAACAATTGACATCTTTATCACCTTTATTTCCTTCTTTTTGTACTTATGGAGAAAATTCAAGCATAATCTTAATATAGTGCGACATGTATAAACTAAAGCTATTCTATGAGGCAGATGTAAGTTTGCAGGGCATTACTCTTCAAGAATCTTGATACATGTGTACAAAAAAATACATAGGGTTAAAATCCACTTAGAACAATAGTTATTGATAAAGAAAACACATTAAAGAAGGAACGTTGTTTGCTGTTGACGAATATAGTTAACACCAGAGGATCATAAAAACATTAGAAGAAATTGTTCTGCGAATACTCGGCAATCTCTCCAATTAAGTATAATGTTAGTTAAAGTTTTTATCAGTGTTAAGAGAACTACAAATTGGTGAGTTCGTGTGTTTCTTTAATTGACGTTATAAGTGTGTTCAACATTTACGGTTGTGTCAGGAAGAAACAGTGGATCAGCAAATTTTACATTTTGAGGGAGGAAACAAAGATCAAAACTGCGTCTTGAATTTTGCATTAATTGTTACTGATATTGACGAAGTAAGATGAAAGAGCTGCAATATCAGAAAATGCAAAGGGTTGAACTAATGAAATCGAGCGTTTTAAAACAGTAAAAAGAGGTCCCTCTCTGGACTATTAACTAGAGGATTCGTTTTTTTTTAAATCATTATCCCTGTGAAGATATGACTGGTATCTGGAATGCAAGAGAACTAAAAGATTTCTTTTAAAATTTACTATCCCTGTCCAGATACATGTATGTTTGTCATGACCTGGACTGGTAACAGGAATGTAAGAAAACAAAAAGATTCGTTTTCCCTCCTTTTGATCCCTGTAAAGATATTAGTGTGTTTGCTGTATTATACTCAGGTGAACGTTAAGGTCCTTGGGCCTCTTGTTTAATTTATTATGTTTGCCATGAGGTTTTTCCTCAGAGAAGTCTGACAACATGTGTGCGTTGTCATGAAGATATAGGTTTTTTAGTCCCCCACCGATGAAACCGGAGGGAACAATAGGTTTTTCTTTCTGTCTGTCTGTATATCTTTCTATCTGTCATTCAGTCTGTCACACTTGGGTTTTCATGCAGGCCTTTTTCTACAGGCTTGCAGATATTGAGCAATTGAGCAAATATTTGGTATGAGAGTGCTATCTTGAAAAGTAATCCAGTTTTCATTTTGTTTTGCTTTTTGACGGAATTACGACCTTTGAACTTACAGACTTAATTTTTAAGGGGAACTAGACTACACATACCCTTAAGGGACTAGCACTGTTCATGCAATACTTTGAGAATCTGCTTGTTTTAACTGTTTTTTTTCTTTAAAAAAACTTTCAGAACGTCTACATCTCAAAATTTATCACACTTCCTGGGAACACTTTGCATTTAGGAACATTATCAGCATTTTGATCTTGTGGGTTTTTTTCTCCACTTGGGAAATTAACTGTTGACAAATAAATAAACTGTAAAGGTTTCTTTTTCCAAAAACAGAAACTACGTTTTATTTCAGTTGAAAAGTTTGTGCACTTTGTAAATGTCTCTTGAAAAAAAAAATTACCATTATCAAATAGCTAATATATTGATTGTCCCAGGAAAAAAAGTATAGATTTTTTGTCTGATTACGGTGACTACGATAGTCAATCATAATGATGGATAATAGAAATAATCTCTGTTTGTTAATGAAACAGCAGGATGTCGAATCATAAACTCCAATATTTTAAAATAAACAGATAGGTCCAGCCCATATGCCCCGAAACAGAACATTTATCGTAATTATTTCTGCTCTTTCTTTCAAAAACAGCCCAACTGCAGGCATTTACAGCCTTCAACCGACCGGAAGAGCTTACTAGAATAACTAACAAATCTTTCTAGGAGTGTTTCAAAAGAGCAAAAGAAACATACATCACACCGTTATTATCAGTTATCATTATACATTATCGATCCTTCATGGGAAGTCAGAGAATTTGAAATTTTTACACCAAGAACACACAATGTATATTGACGTATTGATGATCGAGCAGCACTCTCTTCATTCTTTCTTCAAGCAGCGATTGTGTCTTTTTTTTTCAATGGTAAAATCTCGCTAGGACCGTCAGGTCTTTGATATATTGAATCTACGAGCGACATTCATTGTCAATTTTCTTTTACGAAATCTGAGAAATCCGTTTTTTAAACTCTTGTCAGTTGTAAAAAAAAATATGATTTTGCAAAGATTTCAGTTACCACAAAGCGTATTTAAGTGTTCTCCAAAGAGTCGCAGGAAGCCTAGTTCAGGGGCAATTTTTCTTTCTACATGGCCGTAAGTGGGTAGGCATAAGCTTCCTGATGGTCAATTGTCCTCTACAGACTAGAACTTCGAGACTAAATAGCTCTTAATACGAGCATACCTTTTCCAGCCTTGAGGTGCCAACCGTTTCTTTTAATCTAGACTTTCATCTAAGTTGAACAATCTGAAAGCGGGTTTGATTTACATTAATTAAGTATCGTCAAAACACTTAATGACGGGACATAATACCTGGATGTCACAAAGAGAAAGACCGAATCTAGAATTGACAGTGGTTGCTACCCGCTGATGCCCATTATTTTCCGATAACTGTTGGCGTGTAGGAGGAGAGCGTATCCTACTCGATGATACAATCCACGACTAACTTGTTTATACAAAGTATCTTGGAACTGAGATGCACGAGACGTGAATCTGGATATTTTGTTCGCACTTTCTTTTAATTTGTGGAATTTAAACATTTTCTTATTTGGAGAGGATCCCGAGGTAAGATTTTAAAAAAATTATAATTTGTTTTTATAATATGTACATGGCGTGAATAATTTTAAAACTTTAATTTATCTATTTTAACCACACGATGGGATAATTTTTCTCTTCAATAGTAGTCTTGTTTCAAAACAAGCCAGGATGTAACCACATGCATGATTTTTATTTGTTTATTTATTATTTATTTTTACATATAAATGATTTGAATTTGTAAATCGAAGTATATTTTTAATTTTATATATATTGTGAATACAAATCACTTCCGGGCATATATTGTATTGATACATTGCCTTTTGTATTTACTTCTTCGATACCACATTGTATTTCAAATCTTACAAGTGGTTTTGCATGCTTTCAGAATAACCATTTTCTAAAACACCCTTCGTGTTTCCTGTCATATTTTGTAATTCCATTGTAGAATACTTCTGTGGCTTCCTTAAATAAAACTAGAGGTATTGTGAATTCTGAGCTCACAAAATCAAAATGACCCACCTTCCCCCGCTTCCACATTTGTGTGTAAATGAGTAAATGTGTGTAAATGAGTCGAGTGTAAATGAGATTATGTGAAAGTTTCATTGAATTTTATTCATGGTTTTAGGAGGATTTGTGTTAATTAAATGGCTATCCTCTTTATCGAGTATAAAATCCATGTTTTACAATTGGAAATTATGTAATGAAGATTCTCTGAAAGTCTTGTCAAACTTTATTCAGTGGTATAGGAGGAATTTCAGATAAGAGATTGATAACCCCCCCCCCCCCCAATGACAAATATGGAATGGCAAAATCCATGTTTTGCTATTGGAAACCCCAAATACTGTATGTGTCCAATTGAAATGTAAAATTAATAAGAGGTGCACAATGGCACTATGTAATAAAGATTCTGTCAAAGGTTCATTATATTTTGTTCAGTGGTATAGGAGGAGTTGAGGATAAGAGAAAGACACCCCAATAGCATAAAAAAGAATCGTAAAGTGGGAAACCCCAAATATGTCTCTGATCAAATAGGAGGTCACAATAGCACCATATAATAAAGATTCTGTGAAAGTTTCATTAAATTTCATTCAGTGGCATAGAAGGAGTCGCAGAAAAGAGATTGGTGATTTCAAGTATAATGGCAGGACGGACAACGGACAGACACCCCCACCGCTCTATACCCTCGCTTTTCAAGCGAGGGAGGGGGGTAATAAAAAATAAATGGAATCCAATTTCCGTAAGCAAATCGTCAAATACATGAAAATAAGCTTCTTCGTGCAGTCTAATTAAAATTAGTCCCTAAAACGTAGGGTCTAATTTTAATTAGACTGCTTCTTTGTGCAAATAGAATACTGAAAACTGAATTATTTCGGAGCAAAATTGCAAGACGTTTCAATGTGCATCATAAAACCGTACAGACTTAATGGGATTGTATCAGGAATTCGGTAACGTACGAGAGAGTTTACGGAGTAGACATCCTCCTGTAATGTCATAGAGACATAATAATTACATTGTCTGGGACACTTAAAGAAACGCTCGCAAATGTGAAATCTGATTGCCTCTAAGTTACTATCAGTTATAGAACCGTTTGCAACCGACCCCGAGGGCACAATTTTCTCCAGAGTCCAGTAGTACGACCTATACTGTAGCAGTTCGAAACGAGAGGCCTTCGGACGAGACCTTAAAAAAGGAGGCCCCGTGTCATGGCAGGCGTTTGCACGATAAAGATCCCTCACTGCTCAATGGCCCTGAGTGCCGAGTAAAGGTCAAAATTTGAAGCCCTTCACCGGTATATGGTGACGTCTCTATATGAATGAAAAATTCTCGAACGGGACGTAAAACAACATACAATCAATCAATCAATCAATCGAAACGAGAGTAGTATAGGCAACACTTCCGGTGGAATGTAATACTGCAGAAACATTCAATTTCATGACGAGACGAATCAAGGTTTCATTTCGACAGCGATGCCTGACGATGCATGATCTTGTTGAGCTGGGAAGAGTTATTCTGACAGTTATCATTTGGCGGAGGTAACGCGATGGAAAGGAGGAGGGTAGAAATTCCAGGTAATGACAAAACACCTTTTGTGATTGTCAGTGAAAACCTTCTGTTCTATCATGAAATAATCCCGTCATACAGAAATCAGGTTCAGCAAATCGTCCTGGAACATGTCCATGCTCAGCCACAGGTTGAACGTATCGTTCTACACTTTCTTGAGCATCAGAAAATCCATTCCTTCTGACTTTTCACTCAGAGAACACATGTGAGTGAAACGTCGCTTACATCACTGCGAATTCCTGTATTAAGGTTGTGGATTTGAACTTACCCGTCTCTGGAACCACTTTCCACGGGTTAACTAAGCCACATGTTGACATCTATGACACTTTGATATTTGAATGCTTGTTAAATTGATTAGTATTGACTGTTTTCATTTAATTTTTAACTAGAATTGTCCTTAGCTACAGAGTCTGACACATCTGTTTCATATTTGGACGTTAATGGTAATCTAACAACCAAGCTTTATGATAAACGTGATGACTTTAACTTTTCAATTGTCAACTTCCCTTACTTATGCAGCAATATACCTTCATCACCTACATACGGGGTTTATATCTCTCAGTTGATTCGATACGCAAGAGCATGCTACAATTTCTAAAACGAGGTAAATTATTGACAAACAAGTTGATGAAACAAGAATATCAGCAGTCTTGTTTAAAGTCATCATTTCGTAAGTTCGTAAAGTCGATACAATGACCTTGTCAGCAAATACAATTTATCATTGAGTCAAATGCTGACTGACGTTTTTCATACTAATTGTTAGGCCATTATTTACACACTGAATTGTCGACGGATTTTTCCGTTATTTACCGATCATGACAAGGAGCACACGGCGGGTGTGACCGGTGGGCATTGGATGCTCACTCCTCCATGACACCTGATCCCACCTCTGATGTTTTGGAGGTCCGTGTTTGCTCTGCACCTATTTTGTAATGTTTAATGGACTTTTGAGCTTGAATACTGTTCGTCATCTCCATATATTTCATTACTATAACAATGCTTTAAAATATTAGCAATACCTTATGTTATAAAAAGAATATACATGTACTGTAATAATTAGTTTAATTTGTGACCATAAAAGTCGCTATTCTATATCTCTGAAATATGCACCGTAACATTTTCCCGTTTTTTATTTGTCTGCAAAAAATGATCATAAAAAATGAAAGCTTTCCAGTCCTGTTTCATGATGTAGTTCTTTTTTTTTCTACCAAGTGTGTAAACGTCCATTTATTTATTTTTTTTCTGTTTGATGAATATATGGTAAAAAGACATCCTAACTACCTGAAAATAATATGTAGAAAAAAATAATGTGGAATTGGGTAAAATTAAAATGCTTTTCCATTGATATTAGCAGCGAAACACTACTGACGTTATCTTTGCATCAGTGTTTTTTTTTCTTTTATTTTTAAAGCTTTCTTCTGACTCTGATGTCCCCACAACAAAGACTCTTTGATACGGTTTGTCAGAACCAGACTGAATTTTTTTTAATTAAACCAAACAAAATTTGGTTTTTCCACTGTATTACAGTACTAATGTATGGACTGATTAGTTCTTTTAATCAATATGAAATCAACTTTACTTACAAAAGTACACTTGTACAACTTAATCAATTTGCAATTATAAAATATGCTTTACCATCATGTACTTTTGGTTAAGCCTCCATAACAATCTCAGAAGAGAACATCGTAATAATTAGAAATTGGTAAGTGATCTGGGGACATAGAATTAATCCAGTGGTAACACATTTTTTATATAACGTTCTTGACGATGTGTTTAATAAACTACTGTACATATTTTTTTGTGATTTTAGTTTGGAAAAACAATAGCATGGCATTTATTCGCAGGACATATTGACAAACAAGTTGATGAAACAGAGATATTAACAGTCTCGTTTAAAGTCGTCATTTCTCAAGTACTATGGTCGATACAATGACCTTGTTAGCAAATACAATCTATCATTAAGTCGAATGCTGACTGACGTTTTTCATACTAATTGTTAGGCCATTCTTTAAACACTGGATTGTCTACGGATTTTTCCCTTTGCCCGATCATGACAATGAGCACACTGTGGTTGTGACCGGTTGACAGGGGATGCTTACTCCTCCATGGCACCTGATCCCACCTTTGATGATTTTAGAGGCCCGTTTTTGCTCTTCTCACGATTTTTATTGTTTCAATGGTCTTTTGAACTTGAATACTGTTCCTTATCTCCATATTTCACATTAATGTTCTCATTTCACACAATGTTCAGTTGGCCGCGTGGCGCAGTGGTTAGAGCGTCTGCTTTAGAGTCGCGAGGTAAGGACTTGATCCTTACGTTGCGGGTTCGAATACCACTGTGGGACGTGGAGACCGGTTTTTCGGATGAGACCGTATAAACCGAGGTCCCGTGTCGCAGTAGGTGCTGGCACGAAAAAGATCCCTCACTGCTCATTGGCCCTGAGTGCCGGGCATAAGACACATTTGCAGCTCTCCACCGGCAAGTGGTGGCGTCTCCATATGAGTGAAAAATTCTCGAGAGGGACGTTAAACAACATACAAACAAACAATTACATAATATTCGCCCTTCTTAAAAGTTTTTACACTTCTTCCCTATTTTTGGTCAGAAATTAATTTATGCGTTGTAGACAAGTATATTTAAATGAATGTGATTTACGCAAAACATTTTGTTCAAAATTCATTTCTAATATCACTCAATAAAAAAAAACTTTCAATGCATGAAATTACCTATATTTTCTTATTTAATTCAAATCATTTAGCAAGACCATAAAATAACGTCATATTTACCATACATTTCTTTAACATTGCCCAACTTTCATGTAAATTATTTTGGCAATGGTAAATGAAAACTTGATTAAATGATTATGATTTATAAATTGCCTTTACACAATGAACAATGCCCATGCATTCTACTTTCTGTGTACAAATTTTGTTCGATTAACGAAATCACACGATTCTCCATTAGCTGAAGGGAGCGGAAATTTGCACGACTCTTTATCGGCGAGTTTTACAAGAAATGACGTGTTATCTGTCCTCCTTTCGCCAATCATTTACTGCTTTTACTCACTGAAGTGTCTGATTTGACATAGTTTTACTTGTAGTCTAATCTGAAGAGACCTTGCCTAAAGTTTTGACTGCGGTTCATTTTCCCTTAACATTGTCGAGAGTTATTGACGCATTATCATCAGTATGTCATTTTTTCCCATGTGCGTATAAATTTTTGATTTAAAAACAGCTAGGGCAGATCAATTTTATTTTCCCATTTAAATTTATCCGAGAACGCCAATGATATAATCCGCCGTTAGGAGACACCTCGCAGTCTATGTAAAGCGTGCTGTATACGACATAGCAAAAAGCTAATGAACATGTTAATAGATTTACGTCTAAATTAAAGTAAAGATACAAAAATGTTTTCTAAAACAAAAAAAAAAATGATTTTCGAATGAAATTTAGATTTCAAGGATACATTTTTTTTATTTTTATTGCAATTGTATCGAAATGCTTGAGGGATTACAAGATACGCGTTCCTTTTCCCTAAGCTGGTGTAAAGAAATTCGAAAAAATCAATTCCCGATTGCAAACTTCTTGTCTCTGCTCACTGAGAATCTCAGATATTAGCTTCCTCGTTTAATAACTTTTACTGTCATTGGGCCAAATAAAAAAGGATTGATTTTCCCGTTCATTCAGTCGTTACTTTACTACAAGTTGTGTAACGAAAAAGGTGAAAATAACAAACATTGATCAAAAAATCTACAAACAATACAAAACTGTGAACAGGGCAAAAAATATGGGAAAAGGTGCCTACGGAGGAGGATTTCGGATTTTTCGTAGTCAAATTAAGTATAAAACAAAGGCCTAACATGGCAGCCAAAATACGACCCAATGATAGGTTATTTTTGCTAACGAAGTCATTATAACGATCATAGAATTTACGAAATGCTGACTTTAACTTATCTGTCAGTAGTCTGCCTCGGTTTAAAAATTGATCTTACTCAGAGAGCATGCTCTTGAGTATCGAATAAGTTGGGAGACGTAAACACCATATACATGTGATAACGAAATATTACTTCATATATAGGAAAATTGACGATGGAAAATTCGTAGTCATCCCGTTTGTCATACTATTTATTATTGGTAGCCCTTATCGTCTATAGTCTGCAAAACATTAAAAAATGAAACAAATGTGGCAGACTGCGTAGTATCTTCTATTTCGAGTTCACTGGGGATATATCGAGTCGACATATGAATGGAATATAGAGATAACGAATAATATTCAATCAAGCTCATAAGTCCATTCAAACAATACAAATCAGGAGCAGAGCAAATATGAACTCTAAAACAGCCAAGGTGGGATCAGGCGCCATGGAAGAGTGCAGCAAAGTGTTTTGAAGAGAACCTTGACAGATTGAATTAAAAATTTTAAAGTGAGTACAAGCATTTACCTTCAAAGACTTATAATGTACTATTATATCATAGTACACAGAACTGGTCTATTGTCCCTTTTCTGTCTGAGGGTGAAGTGCCAGTATGAAATCCCATCTACATTGTATTCTCGTAACTATTCTTATATTGAACAATATATATATTTTTTACTTATTCTCAGAACATATGGCATGTGAAACGTTGCATTATTATACTTTTTGTTATTCCTATTCAATTTTGTTATTTTTATTCTAAAACATATTATTCCAGTTCGATAAAATGTGATTCCTCTTCGATAAGTTGTTATTCTTATGCGAAAAATGTAATTTCTATTTGATAATTAATCATTCCTATTCGATAAGTTATTATTCCTATTCGAAAACATGTAATTCCTTTTCGATAATTTTTTATTCCTATTCGAAAACATGTGATTCCTATTCGATAATTCTGTCATTCTTATTTGATAAGTAAATGATTCATATTCGATAAACATGTTATTCCTGATGAAACACATTTGATTCATATTCAAAAATATACAATTTCTATTCGATAATCTTGTTATTCCTATTCGATATATTGATCAGTTGAATTATGATTTAAAAATAAATAATAATGTATGTTTTCCTTTTCATCATATGGGATATGACGGTTGTCATCCTATTTAGAATTTTTAAAAAAATGTATAATATATTTGAATGGGACATGATGCTGATATATTGTGCTTATACTATGCTGATAGACAACGTGACATGAAAGAGCACATTATGCCAATGATATAAAAAGAATGCACATTGTCCGAAAGCTATAAAGTAGTTTGCTGATGAAATATATGGAGATAACGAACAGTATATTCAAGCTCAAAAGTCCATTAATCAATACAAAATAGGAGCAGAGCAAACGGACCTCCAAACATCAGAGGTGGGATCAGGTGCCATGGAGGAGTGAGCATCCCCTGCCGGCCGGTCACACCCGCCGTGTGCTCCTTGTCATGATCGGTAAATAACGGAAAAATCCGTCGACAATAATGGCCTAACAATTAGTATGAAAAACGTCAGTCAGCATTTGACTCAATGATAAATTGTATTTGCTGACAAGGTCATTGTATCGACCATAGAACTTACGAAATGATGACTTTAAACGAAACAGCTGATATTCTTGTTTCATCAACTTATTTGTCAAGAATTTACCTCGTTTTAGAAATTGTACATACGTAGAGCATGCTCTTGCGTATCGAATCAACTGAGAGATATATACCCCGTATGCAGGTGATGAAGGTATATTGCTGCATAAGTAAGGGAAGTTGACGATTGAAAAGTTAAAGTCATCACGTTTATCATAAAGCTTGGTTGTTAGATTACCATTAACGTCTTTTTCAAGTAAAATATCCAAATATGAAACAGATGTGTCAGACTCTGTGGTATCTTTTATCTCAAGTTCACAAGGATATATCGTATCGACATAAGAATGGAAATAGCCATTGTTAATTGACAATACGTCGTCGATATATCTAAGTGTCGAGTTGAAGGCCACAGCAAGTGTTTTCTTCTTTTCACGTACAAGATTTTGGACAAATTCTGCTTCATATGAATACAAAAAAAGGTCTGCTAATAACGGAGCGCAATTGGTACCCATGGGAATTCCAATAGATTGTTGGAAGACCTGGTCTCCAAAAACCACATAGATATTGTCAATCAGAAACTCAAGCATCTTTTTAATGTCAACTTCAGAGTACTTGTGTGAACAATCAGAATGTTTTTTAACAAAATAATTTTGCAAATGACCAATGACAAGGTAAGTATATTTACGAGTTCCATTTTTATTGAAAAAGCAACTGTCAATGATATCAAAAAGACTGGACTTTAATTTATCGTGGGGAATGGTTGTGTACAAAGTTGAAAAGTCGTAAGTTTTTAAGCTGTTGATTTTGGTAAAATCTTGTGATTTCAAATTTTCCAAAAGTTCCTTGGAATTTTTAAGTATCCACATCTGATTTACACCACTTCTCGAATATATTGTTGCACAGTACTCTTGAAGTTTCTCCTTCATCACTGTTAATATCTTAGTGAGGAGTAAAGATAGAGGCTTGGTTGAACATTTACTGGAACCCGCTATGTATCTTTGTTTGTAAGGATTTTTATGAAGTTTCGAAATACAATATAAATATGGTAATTCAATTTCATTTTGGTTGTTTGGAATATTAAAAATATTCAAAACTGACATATGATTTTGAAGAATTTCTTCCTTAGAAAGGGAACTATGAGTATAAGTGGATTACCACTTGTAGAATTAAATCCAAGTTCCTCTAAAATACATTTAATATAATGAGCCTTACAAACAAAGACAATATTGTTACCTGCTATGTCAGCAGGGACCAGTACGTACTGATCATGTAATCTATCTAATTCTTTTTTCACTTCTGGATTATTGAATACAGAAGGATAGATGGTTTTCATATTGCCTCTCAATCTTTTAATGCGCGATTTTAACATACATCTGATACATTTAATCCATTCTGACAAAGTGTCAAGGTCTTCTTTTTCATGTCTGGTCCATCGCCTGGCGTAGTCCTCTACAGAATCCATAATATTTATGAAATTCCGACGCCAGTTGAAGGATCTGGGTTCCCTAAATTTAGGACCTTTTAAAATTAGTGATCTAAGGTCCTCATTATTAACTATAATTACGTCACCAGTAATAACGTGTCCAGCAGGACTATAGTTATAGGGCGAAGAAGAACATGAACACGATGGAGGATTATGCTTCAGATTTTCGATATCCAGGTCCTGTAAAGTTTTCTTGTAATTAAAAAGTTTGGAAGCAATAGTCGATGTATATTTGTAGGAAATACAAGGTGGAGTCTTTAACATGAAATATGATGGAATACAAGACTGGACCCTTTTGTGATTAAGAATATTACTTATATTAACCGCGTCAATTCCTTTGTTGGCATATTGAAGTTTAAAAGGAAAAAACGGATTGTTTTAGCTGCATTTTCTTCAGTAAAACGCGGGGGTTTAAAAAGCCTATGATTGGCAATATCCATAATTACAGATCCGAGCCTATATTCTGGTGTCGAGGAATCACAAAATGGACTTTCCTTGACCTTTTCAAGAAGACTATTTAAAAGTTTCAAAGGGACAGAGTAAAGTTTGGTGCGAATATGATGTAGACCTAACTGTTGATTTACGTAAGGTAGTAATGAATCAAAAGAGACATCGTGTATTAAAGGTTAATTGTAAGACCGATGCCCATGACTACGCTTACGTCTCTGTGTATGGTTAAAAAGTCCCATCACATTTACATTGTTACACTGTGGACTGGAAAGATTTCCAACACTATCGACGTAACACAACCAAATATTTCACAAAATTACTTTAATTGATACGTCGATCACTTGTATTGTTTTATACTCAAAACAACATAAATTTTATCTATCTCAGGAGGTCTGGCAGCTTTATCAGAAAGGGATTAGGATATTAACTGACAATGGGCTTAGTTATCTTGTGCTTCCTGAATTCCTCTTTTTTGTCATTTGTTTATTAAGAGGTCAATGAAAAAGAGTATATGACTAATATAAACTTGGAAAACGTTGAATCTCTCTCTGTCTCTCTCTCTCTCTCCTATTAAAAGAACAGACTAAAATAGATGTTATTTTGGCAATTCAAATATTGCTAAATTTGCATATAAGAAAACAATTACAGGCTATGTAGAGGTTAATTAAAACACCATGTCGTTACTGATATAAATGCGTTCATGCCAAAGGAAACATTGAATTGATTCTCTCCAACACAGAAAGTCTTCTGTACATTCTTTCATGTAAATTAACCATTGAAAATAAAATTGAGGAATAATTTCTGAATCTCTTGGAAAATGAAATCTGTTTTGGGCAAATTGTTATGACCAATCTTAGAAATTTGAACTTATCAGTTACCAATCCTCTTGTCTATTGGTTAATTTGACAGAGCAGAATAGGAATTAATTGCAATAAAAATTCCATCTCTTTTTTAAGGGAAATTTACCTTGATCATTATAGGAGAAATGCCTGTTTGTTAGTGTGATAATGTATCTCCACTTACTTGTCTTTTACCTTGTCTGTGTACATGTATTGGAGAGGGGGTGTAACAAAAACACCTCAGATAATTACCAAAACAATAAATAGAGGATATTCAATGTTTTGTAGTTGGATATGGAATTTATTTCACGAGTGGGACGGGAATTTTTTTTTATTTTCAGGAGTGCGAAGCACGAGTGAAAATATAAAAGAAATCCTTCCTCACGATTGAAATAAATTCCATATCCAACTACAAAACATTGAATTTTCTGTTTTTTACATTTTCTTTGATTTTTCCTTTGCCTCTGTCTTTTTTAAACACAGTGCCATAGGCCGTGACGTCATAGCTTAGCAATAGTTAAATTGAAAACATTGGTAACATGGATTTTAGCAACATATTTGGGAAGAAATTGGCAGTTTTAGTCTCTATCAAGACGGTTTAGTTACAATCTCTATCTTATGACTGGCCAGAAATTATTTTAACTTACTTTGATATCCTTTCACACTGTGAGGAAATATCACTTTGGTATCCTTTCACACTGTGAGAGAATATCACTTTTATTCAATTAATAAATCACACAATTTCGCTATTGAATATGTAATTAAAACAAATTTCAATAATTATGGGACATAGCATAGCAAAGTTTGGAAAAGAATTTAATATTTTTTGTGAATTTTAATGTATTTTTGATATCTTTTTTAATAACACAGAAATTCTAGGAAAAACCTTTACAAATCAATTCAATTAATGACTTAAGTGACACGGATCTGCATTAGTAAGTATAAAGCATCATTTATTTGTCTAATTAAAAAGCACTCGTGATTTCTCCAGGGTATCACGAGACCAATCAATCAATGGAATGGGAAAAAAGAAGAGAAACATTACCCTAGTTTTAGTTCTGGACATACACCCACTATTCCTTGTGGGACTGCGGGTGATAACACACCAGCTGCTTGTCTGCCGGTTACAGATTGTGAGTGATACGGTGCAGTATATAGAACACTGTTGAGATTGTACCAGCAAATCACCAATATAACTGTCACAATAAAATATAGCGAAATTCTAATCTTGGATTGCGAACAACAATTAAAAAGTGTTCACATCATGTGTTGATGTATGTATGTTTTAGATTTCAGAAAGCTATTTCTGCAGGGCTTCTTTTCTGCACAAGTGGCACAAGGTGTAAAACTATCAACCAGGAATATATTTTCGGATGAAACTGCCATCTACTCTTAAAGCAATCGACCTTGTAAATTTAAAAAAGGGGGTGTCATTCATGAAATGTCACTTCCTTGAATTGTTGTTTAATTCTTGTTCGTAATGGTCATATTTTCTTTTTTCAAAAGACATGGAAACGCACCTTTTTTTCAACTTTCTATATAGTTGATCAGCTTAAGTAAAAGTATTATATATATTCATGATATACAAATTATTTAAAAAGATTTTTATATACTCAATATCAGACAAATACAAAATATTTGTGAATATTGTAGCTGATACAGAGGAAAAGATTACCAAATGGATACCTTGTAAAGCTTATCATAAAACATTAATAGAAAAAAGTTTGTCGATTCCATATTTTAAAAGAAATGGAGAAATGGCGGTCCATGCCCCAGGTGTTTTGATGGTAACTACTTTTTTAAAAACTTTATATATCTACCTGTAGATGGAAAGCTTGAATAGTAGTAGTTTTATATAAAATATATCATGAAACATAACCTATCACTGTTTTATTTTAAATTTAAATTTAAGTTTTAAAACTAATATCCCCAAATAGCAATACATGCAACACCCTATTATTTAATTTTTTTTTTCGCCTAATATTATTTCTTTGATTACGATTCAACATAAGAAACACTTGGCAAATCCCTAGCACCTTTCCGATATTTGCATATTATTTTAGAACAGATATAGAAAATGAAAGTAAAATGATACATTTGGACGAACACCACCAAATGTTTTCCCATGGACTTCCAAACAAAGTTGAGCCCCTGTAACTGATTCATATATGAAATTTTGGGCAAATGACTTTCTTGCCGTGAAACTTCGAGATTTTGCAAAACAAAACATGCCAGAAAAAATATACCGTGCTGCAGCACTTTTACTTTCAAATTCCATTTGTTAACAACTAGGTGCGTTCAGCACCAAATGAAACTCTCTAACCGAAGTGCATCCTCCCCTCAAATTTTTACCTGTAACTCCTATATATCTCAAAGTAGCCTAAGTCTTGATACGAGATTTTTATCACCTTTATTTCACTTGTCAAAAATATAACAAGTCTTTTCTTTTAATGACCAATCATGTGCGCTGTAGCATTTTCTTCTCCGTACAACTGTGAGTGTCAAAAGTACCTGCGCCCATGTCTAGGTGTTTTTTTTTCCTCTATTTTACAAAGTTTTCTTTCAAAAATCAAACCTGGGAAAAAATTTATTGGTGTCGTATAAAGATTTCCATATTCTTCTTGAAAAAATGAATAACTTTTGCTATGCAAACATTTTAGAAGCTGTTACTTGTGTCAAAATGTCGTTCACAGACAAACAGCTTGTAATCAAGTAAATATTCTCATGAAGAACAGCTAAAAATCCCCTGTATTCATTAGGCGACACTGGTCTCATCCCGTCACATCCATTGATTGTTCATGCAAGGTGCCCGGGTCTGAGTTAATTGTTGTTAAAATCCTCAGGGACCATAAAGGGTGTGCATAAACCATTAAGTGAATCATTGAATGTCACAAGTCCCCAGGGAAGGATTATATATGATGCCAGTCATGTTTTACATTTTTGAAAGCGAATGTGCTGTGGGAATCTACGCTTCTGTCGACCTACATGGCATCTCGTCTACCATCCAATGGTTTACAAAGAGTAAGACTATTGGTTTTAGTTCAGATGTGCTGTATTAATTATATGATACATTTTAGACTATATTAATTAGACATAGATAGATGTTACAGATTTACTTCAATAGATTCTATCTCTTGTCTCAGCGTATGCGAATTAAAATGATAATAGAAAATAGAATTCAACAATTTCATTAGAAATATAAAGTGGAATCATTTGATATGACACCACAAAAACAAAATAAAACAACAAAATAAAAAAAGCCCACTTAATTAAGTAGAGTTTCACCATTAAACAGAGTATTACAGAGGCGCAAAAATTGAAACATTGATAATGTCTCTATATAGGATTCTATATACTTGAAAGATAAATAGATGTTTGCAGATGATATCCTTTGGACAACTAGTTTTACTTCCTGATTCTCTTCATGGATTACAAAAAAATGCCTACTGTACTTTACTCATATAGTAACGATTAGAGAATTATCTGTAAATGTAAGTAAAACTAGTTCTAGGAAATCTGGACGGCTGAACCAAAATGATGACAAGGAAGTTGAAGTTGTCAATCAATTTACTTATCTTGGTCTTACACTCTCCTATACAGGTTATTTTTTCTAGATATAAGATGTCATAGGCTTCTGAAAGAAGGAAATGTATGTTTTAGGCTTCTGAAATCACTGAAAAATGTCCATTTTAATTACCTTGCTCGTTTATCTTTACTCGATACTTACATGTATGTAGGTAGTGTATCGAGTTACAAAAATACATTTAGAATATCTTAAAATTATGTTGAAAGTAAGAAAATATACCTCGTCATTGATGATCTATTATGATCTTCGTATTTTATCACTTTTTATTCAAAAGAAAATTCGCATTATCAAATTTTGGTTAAAGTTATTCGAATCAGTGAATTGTGTAGCAAAGGATATCTGCCAAGATATGCTTGAGCAAACTGAAACATGTCTTAATGCAGAATATATAATGAAAAATAAACTACTGCTTTCATTAAGGTTTGGAGAAATTTGGTATTGTCAAAATCTTACAAACTTATTTTAACAGAATGTGAAATGATATAATTTTTGTCATTTGGAGGTTGAAGATGAGTACCATTTTATAATGAAATGCTCACTTTATCTTGAGTAGAGGAATTGCTTATAAAAAGTAACGTATGGGTATACGCGGAGTACGTATAAACTTTTACAACAGTTATCAACTGAAAATGTTAATGAATTAAGGGATATATTGAAATTTCTTCAGAAAGAGATTAACTTACTGTTAACTAAATATTTTATTTAAATATCAAATAGAAACAATGTTATGTAAAACCAATAGTATGTTAAAATATTTCATGTATGTATAATGCATTACTTCTGCATTAAGGGTTCTTTATTCTGCAATTGTCTATTGATAATGTGATTTGTTAAGCCATATGGCTTAAGAAATAAATAAACAACAATAAAAACAAGATGTTTTTGTGAAACACTGATACCCCCGTATGACAGCTCATGGCACAGCCTAAAGTTTCCCAAATGCAAGTGAAACTCCAAGATCAAGATATCAAAAACGTTGTTACCCAAAGAAAGGTCCTGTCACAAGGAATACACCTGTGAAACATAAAGCCCTAGCAGCAACCATTCAGATATTATGGTCAAGGTTAACGCTCTTCGAAAATAGGCAAAACTCGGTACTAAAGAAAAGGCCTTGTCACAAGGAATGCACCTGTGAAATATAACAGCCCTTGCAGCAACAATTCAGAAATTATGGTGAAGGTTAACGTTATTAACTCGAAGGTTAACGTCATGACTGAAAAATATTTGCAATTAAGAAAATGCCTTGTCACAAGGAATGCATTTGAGAAATATGACAGCCATAGCACTAACCGTTCAAAAGTTATGGCCAAAGTTAGATTTTCAAAAGTAGGTCAAACTACAACGTTAAGATAAAAAATATATTAATTCTCAAGGAAGGTCTTGTCACAAGGAATACACATCTGAAGTATGAGAGCCCTAGCACCAAGCATTCAAAAGCTGTGGCAAAGGTTAAAGTTTTTTTAAAGTGGGTATAACTCCATGGTCAATGTAAGAGGTCAAATTTGGTACCCCCAAGAAAGTCTTATCACAAGAAATACACATGTGAAATATGAAAGAACTAGTTCTTACCAATGAAAAGTTTTTGCGGACAGATAGAGAAACAGACAGACGGACGGACAAGGCAAAAATTAAATGCCCCCTAAAATTCGATTACGGGAGCATAAAAACAACAAATTTTCCATCTTTGTCTACTTGTACTACTATTCCACCAGATTATTAAGAAACATGTTTAATAGGAAAAGCTTAACATTTAAATAATGACAGCATTTACACAAAATAGAGTGTAAATTCTTAGTATTGAATGATTACCGAAATCACACAGATTTGCATATTTATTGAATTATGAAAATCTGTGTGATATTTCTCAGGTAAAGGGTACTTATTATAGTTACTCCGATTTCCTCTATAAAACTTTTCATCACATTCGTAGAGTTCCTTGTTTATCAACATAATGACATCTTCCTTAAAAAAATGTAACGAATCGTTGAAAAAATGTATACATGTATGAAAGAACGTGTACTAATGATAAAAGTACAATGCTCTGCGGAATTAAATTCGCTCTAGAGTGGAAATTATACCTCGCGTTCACTAAAAGCAATATACTGATGAATACCTGTTACATATATATTGCAAAGGATATTGCACATGACAATAAGCATCGGGATAAAAAAAATATTAGCTGGTCTTTGAAGGTTTATTACTTAATTTGAAAGTCGACATAGTTTTTTTTTTATAATAAAGAAACTTTAAACTTGATAAATGTATCGCCTAGAGAGATTTCACAATTTCTGAAAATTGTAAAGTAAGCTAGAAATAAGCTTGATTTACTGCGATAGTTGTAATTGTATAGAAAGTTTGAAATAGCTTGATTTCCTGCGGTAGTTGAAGACGTAGTAAGCTTGATTTACTGCGATAGTTGAATACATAGTAAGCTTGAAATAACCTTGATTTAGTTGATTACATAGTAAACTTTAAATAAACTTGATTTACTGCGATAGTTGAATACATTGTACGCTTGGTTTAATTCGATAGTTTAATACATAGTAA